TTCTAAATCTGACTCATTCTCCTCTTGGTGGTGTGCACGAGTGGGGCTGTGACAGCAGGTTCAGTGGGGAGGTACACGGCTGAGGGAGAAACACCTAGGCATCCTGGACCTCCTTCCCCTTGACCTTTATCTTTCCCTTCTCCTAGTCACCCCTGCAGTGCTAACAAGTCCTTAAAAGAGCCTTTAGTGTATTCATTGCTCTGAGGGTAGAAGCTATTACGACTCTCAGAGCATCCTTAAAGGATGCCTCTGAAGGTGTCCCTTGAATTGGAATATTTTACAGCTGAAAGAAACCTCAGATGCCATTTACGTAAGTCTGCATTTTACAGAGAAGGAAGCTGAATTCCGGGACTATTAAGATATGAATGCAAGGCTCCTTGGGTCACATCACACCAGCTTTGGGCAGTGCACACTGTTTCCACAGACCATGCTGCCGCCCTCAATGAGGCCGTGGCACGGCATGGTACCTTAACTCAAAATCTTGAAGCATTTCTTAATTAGTTATTTAAGTAAAATGAATTTATTCTAACTCCCATTACAGCATTAAAAAGAGCTTAAACCACTTAATAAATACGTGGCAGCTGGAGTCACCTCTTGATGGATAATCATGTTTTCTCATTTGAAGTTCAAGTGCTAGAAGACAAAGTGACTTTAAAACTGCTCAGGAGAGGCCCCAATTATCTGATAAGCAATTCCAAAGACCATACACATAAATGCAGAAACAGACCTCTTTATGAATGGTGTCTGACAAGGAAAGAGATATTTGTGGCATAGGAGCTCTTGAAAATGTAATTATTTATCCTTTCACAATTAATGAAAGAAACTGAAAATGAAGCTTTCATTTCAAATCCTTTTTATCTGGATGAAACTCTAATTTTACATAATGAAATTGACTTCACAGTTCAGTGTGTTAAAATATGCACTTAAGCAGCGTATCAAGGTTAAATGCCGACTGTTGTTGGCTCATTTAGAAATCGTGCTGCCCAATGCCCAAAACAAGAATGAACACCTGCCTGTCTGCTACTATCCCCAGATCCAGGGACAGCACACAGCCTGCAGGGCTGGCTCCCCAAATGCAGGGGATGCAGTTGAGTTTTCTCGCATATGCCGACTCCTGTATAAAGTTAGCTGGATATTTAGAGCTTTCACTCCTCTTTGTTTTTCAGTGGGGCTCTTTTTTATTTGTTTGTTAGAGCGCCATAGATGATTAACTTTCTCTCTTACAGAAGTCTGCCCTAAGACAACACTTGCATCATCAAAGTTGTTGCTTTCAGTTTGGTGAAACAATGTTAAAACTCCTTTATTCAGATTTTGCCATTTCACAATTTATGATAAATTTCAGCTTAGATCTCTTTCAAATTATATTTACACTCTTGGAAAAGGAGGACCTTATGAAATGCTGTGGGAGGTGTGGTATGGGAACATGAAAATGGGATCGAGGTGAGTTCATTGGACATTTATCTTAAGAGACAGAGGTGGAGATGTTCATTTGTGGATCTCCCCGTTTTCCCTTTGAATAGCACCTTTGTGACAGTTAATTTATGGCTCTGGAGCATCCTATGGAGCACCTTTCACCTTAAGACTCTGTAAGTGGAGTAAAGGCAACAATTAGAGCTGCATTCCCTTCCCCTCTCTGATATAGGCTATAACAGTGATTCTTGTTTTGACCATTGGGGTGGTTGCTGGGAAAGACTTATGGATCTAAGCAATATCTTATTGTACTGAACTCATTTGGTGGCTTTTCTAGATATACAGGGCAATTGTATTATTAGATTACAAAAGCCACATAAAGAAGAAATGATAATGAGACCTTTCAGGACAAACTTCTTCGAACTGGGGGCATATGCCACATTTGCAGGTTTATTCTTTCTATAATGGTCCTGCTACTTGTTATAAGATGTAGGTTGTTAGGATGATTGACAGGCCATAAAACTGGAAGACTGTAAAAGATACTACAGTGTGTGTGGTGATATAACCTATATCATAACCTATTTCCTCTTCTGGGTCAAAGCTTGAGTTATGGTATTATCTGCTTCCATGATACCAGAAGGCATCATGTAGCTTATAAAATCTTCCAAAATTCCATGAGCTAGATTTGCCTCTTGTTTCATTGCATTGCCCTGGAACCCAAAGGAGGCCTTAGCTATCAAATGACATCACGTTAGTTTTATCAGTAAAAAAAAAAATTGATAGTGAAAAACAATGTTTCAATAGGGGAAAATTTATATTAACGTAGCCATGCAAAGTACCTATATATAACCAATTTCATAATTACAACTTATTCTTACAGATCCTCAGGGAAGTGAAATCTGAGAGAAGGTAATAATGATGTATTTAGTTTTGGTTACTGCATGCACTTCAAAGCCATTAAACTACTGGTTAGTGAAACTATGTTCATATACAAATATACAAACAAACCACTGATTGGTTTTCCCTCAAACAACCTAAGTTTTTGCAAGTTTTAACAATGAACAAGTGTTTAAATAATAAACAATAATGGCTACTCTCTACAACAACTGTAAATCTCCTACCGTTTCTCAGAAACATGCAGGTTTGATTACATTTTATACAAGGCTTAGAAAACCTTGCTCTGATTTTTACAAGACCCTATTGTTTACGGATCAGAACTGCCTGGGTAATAGAACTGTTCATACATTCTCAGAGTTCCAGGAAAAGGAATTTCAACTGAAATAAAAATGTGGTAGAATTGAAATGTTTCATCAATATGGCCTGGTGTTCTCTGCTGCTTTATTAGATCTATCTGATTTGATACAGATGAACTGCTACTGATTTTAGTCCTCCAGAACCAGATGGAAGAAACTCTAGAATACATCCAAATATGATACGTTCAAATGGAGAAGATGATGAATACAGAAAAATTATTCACAGATAGTCCCTAAACCTTATATTGGCCTATTTTAATCTTCTTTCCCATTAATGCTTTTACAAGGTGTTTCCAATATATCATTGAGTAGAAAATGATGCTTTCTTTAATAAAGACCTAGACAGAAGGGATCAGACATCCACATTTAACTGAATCAACTGGAAGAAAAGACCCATCTTGGAAACTGTTGATTATTATTCTATAATCCTGCCTGTTCCATCCTGAAGTATGAATTCAGGAGAATTGTCAGTTGTATGTGTGATTGTGAGTTAGAATTCTCAGCGGCCAAGTGAAAACATTCCTGGCTTTGTTATTTTTTTCTTCTGAATTTTCTTCTTATATGTGGTTAAAGGATATCTGGAAAGTTAAAGGTTCTCAATATAACTTTGAATTGTACAGTGAATAAATAGAATTCTGGGTGGTGGTGAGAATCAAGCATTTGCAGAACAAAGTAGTTTTCTTTAATTCATTCTCTAGGGAAAGGTAATTTATTCTAATATTGAGCTATCTCTACTATTAAATTTGAAGTGAAGTTAACAGGACAGAGATCCGTCTGTGTATATCCAACAAGACACAAAGACAATTGCCAAGGGCACCAAATTAATGAGTGCATGTGAAAGCACTTTAAACCTGCAACATGCTTTATAAGTGTAATCAGCATCTAGAAAAGGCAACTCAGAGGGAGGTAGTCATGTTTTTAGGAAGTTCAGCACTATTCCCCTGTGAAAGGGTTATTTTTGTGTTTAGAATATTGTTGATAGACCCAAGTAAACTAATATGTATTCTGTCTATAAATCAGAGGAATAAAGGGCTCGCGGGTGACGCTCCTCTCCCGGACTTCTCTATTCATCTCTTTATAGTTCATGGCTATGAGCATAAATTGTGATGCTCTAAGTATAAAGCTTGCTACACTATCATTACATGTGACATTCACGTAGATACTAATGTATGCTTATATTTGAGGCATGTTGAGGCAGTGAAGAGTTTTTCAAGTAAATACTACTTGAAATACAACTAAATTTCATAATTCAAGGATGGATTTAGTTCTTAATTAGGAATAAAAGCTAGAAGAAGGAGCCACTCAGTTGAAGGTGCTGATACAAGTCCAAAGTATTAAAGATAACATAAGGACAAAACAATTTAATGAACCTAAGGCTTTAACAAAACAGAGACAGTAAAATTCTATCCCAAGAAATTGGTTTAGAAATGTGGAAAGCAAATTAAAAGATTTATCTTGAATAACGACTTGCTAGCTCTCACTGGCACACTAGAATATTCATGTGTCATTCACTAGTCAATATCCTATTTTCTATCCTAGTTTGTGTGTGTGTGTGTTACAGAAGGCATTTTCTTTTTGAAGAGAAATTTGAGGACTTTTGATTACCCAGATAACACATTTTAAAATTCAGCTAATTAGGTAAACACTGAAATATCTAACTGTAACTATTTGTGGCCAGTATCTCTACCTCTTTCTGAGAGGCTGAGTCTGAATTCAAGTATATCGATGGTGAGCAGTTTAACAAAGACGCTTATAGATGATTCTCAAAGACTCCCCAGGCATTTATTTCAACCTGGAAAATAGCTGAATACGTGGTGAGAAAGCACTTGCTGTTTGGCCAAGTAGGGCCTCCCCACACCCACTCCCCAAAAAAGTTGTTGTTTCATAGCCATGGACTCAGAAAGCCTCAGAAAGGTAAACATAAAAATACACTATTTTAATTGTGTAAATGTCTTGAGTCTGGGAAAAGTCTGTGAACTAGACACCATTAAAAGATGCAGTATCTGCTAGTCCCAAACTCCCAATCCATCCTTCCCCCAACCCTCCTCCCCCTTGGCAAACAAGGTCCTACTGTATAGCACAGGGAACTATATTCAACATCCCGCAGTAAACCATAACGGAAAAGAATATGAAAAAGAACACAGATATATGTATAACTGAATCACTTTGCTGTACAGCAGAAATTAACACGACACTGTAAATCAACTATACTTCAATTTTTTTAAATGCAGCAAATTAGACCCAGAGGGGATGCACTGCTACCAGACGGGAAAGAATGCAGAGTGTCATTTATTGTGTTTGAGGTGTCCAGGTAAGAGTTCCCCAAAGCAATCTTACCTTTGTTTTCTGCCTTCAGTTCCTCTGCCATCAAGCTGTCTTGTCGGTTACCAAGCACAAATGCCAGAAACGAGAGGATGAGGGCATCCAAAATCCCAATGATAGCCAGGATGTAAGCCCAGCGGACTGAACAAGCCCCAAGAGTGTACTTGTCTGTCTTTTCTCCACACATCCGTTTTACTTCATCTGAGTCCCAGCCATCAGGGAAAATCATACAGCCAAGCACAAGGCAGGCAGCTTAGAGAGGAAAAAAAGAGAAAAGGAGTTACATAAATTCCATTTTAGCAAACATAGCTACTATGTGTCAAATCATTGTCCAAATTCTTGATGTCAAAGCCAGCAAATCTTACTGCTGTCCAACCCTGAGTGATTTTTTCCTGGTTAACTTAATAGCAGCCCAGCACTCTGCAGTGAAAGGGGCTCTGGGAACACTCTTTTCAGTGAGACTGAGCATTATAAGAGAGGTTAAGGTATGTTGATCAATAAGAAAATACTTTAAAAAAAAAAACTGAATTTGAGTGCATTTGTGAGAAGGCTTCCACTGCAAATAGGCCACAGGCAATCCTAACACTGCAGAATGACAATTCAATGCTGGCTCTGAAGAGCTATAACAGCAGCCAGATTGGGGATTAGGATAACATGGAAAATACCAGAGCATATATTGACTTGGAGTCACAGTAAAAAATAGTTTCATATTGTGACCTCCAACATACACACTAAAAAGTTTCTTGAAACTACACTTACCACATGCAATGCACTCTGATATTTTCTAGTCTATTCTCCATTCTACTTCATTTTTTAAAAGGCCGAAAATCATGGTAACACAGTGTGGCACCACAGAGCTTTTATGGAAATTCAGGAATTTAAGGAGAATACTTATGTTCTATTTCCCAAATATCACCATGTGAATCATATGAATACTTTAAAATAAGAATATGTTAATTTGAAGGCTTTTGTTGCTACTCTCTTTACATTTAATTCAATTATTTGAGGGTAAATTATGACAGTATTAGGTTACATAGAGCATTCTGAATAGGTAGTTCACTCATTAACTCAACAACTGCTTATTGAGTGTCTCCTAAGGAGTACCAGACACAGTTCTTGGTGCCATCAAGGGATACAGTCATCAAGAAAAGAGACATGGTTTATGTTATCATAGACTTTATGTTCTGTCAGGAAAGGAGGCAAAAAATGAGTAAGCATGCAAATAAAATAATTTTAAGTTGTAATAAGTAATAGGCAAGAAAGAAACAAAGGGCTCAGAGAATAGCAGGTGGGACCTTCTTTAGAGAAAGTGATCAGGTAAGGCCTCTTGAGGGGATGACATTTAAGCTAAGGCCAAAAACAGGCAAAGCACTAGACATGTGAAACAGATGGGAAAGATGTTTCAGGCAAGAGCATGTGCAAAGGCCCGGATATTGGAAAGAGGCTTGGTGTATTTCAGAAGCTACCAGGAGATTAGTGATGGGGGTGGAGAAAGTGATCGTGTTGATGCTGTGAGGCAGGCAGGGGCTATGCGTCCCAGCAGGTCATTGTTTCCAGGGCATGTAACTAAAGAAGACTATGATGGCACAACCCAGTAAGAGTTCTGTGACTATCCGAGGCGAACAATCCCTGAAGCTGGCGGGAGCAAGTCCCATATAACTCTTACCTCACTGCAACTTACTAAACAAGCCAGAAGTAGACAACTATTATCTTACTTTTTAACAGGAGCACAGCTCTACAACAGGTCTGGAGGAGACAGATACCAAGAGGGGTGACAGGAAGGAAGACTGCCTGGGAGAACTCTGATTTAGGATTCCTTGTTATTATACAGGATGATAGTTCAAAACTGTGGGTCACACTTAATTCCTCTCTTTTCTTTGCTGCACATCACAAATGTTGCCATGCTTCTCTTACCTACCTGTGCAATATCTCCGCATAGGCACTCCTACTTTAAGCCTTCATTATCTCTCAAAATGAACCCTAACTTCCCTCTGCCTTCTGTTCATCCTCACTGTATTTCAGATCACACATTACTGCTCACGCTCAAGATGTCTTGCTGGTTCCCACTGGTACTGAAGAACACTCAGACACTCAGCTAGGTACTCAAGGATCCACGGTCCAGCCCCTACTTAGTTTCCAGTCTTCCTCCCCTTTATACTCTCCACTTCATGTGGGTTGAAATACACATGATCCCCTGTCCATGTGCCAAGTTTTGGATCTCTGTTTTTCTCTTTTGCCTGGAGAATTTGCCACTACTGTCCCTAAATACTCTACTCTTTTTTTTTTTTTTTTTTTTTGCGGTACGCAGGCCTCTCACTGTTGTGGCCTCTCCCGTTGCGGAGCACAGGCTCCAGACGCGCAGGCTCAGCAGCCATGGCTCACAGGCCCAGCCGCTCTGCGGCATGTGGGATCTTCCCGGACTGGGGCATGAACCCGTGTCCCCTGCATCAGCAGACGGACTCTCAACCACTGTGCCACCAGGGAAGCCCAATACTCTACTCTTAAATATCCTTTAACATTCAGTCAAAAGCAACATTCTCCACAAAGTGAGCCATCTCAAATTCTCCTTGAACTACATTATTGCACTTCTCTGAACTCACATAGCTGTTGACTGCATTGACCTTAAAGTTCTTATTGTTGTTGTTTTACATGTGTTACAGTTATTTATTTATAAGCATTATCTCAATTATAGACTATAAGCTTTCTGAGGAAAGAATCATCATATTAAGCTAGAGTCATATTAAGTTAAGTCATCATATTTATAGCACCTAAAAGAGTACCTTGTAGATAGTTGGCAATAAAATACTTTTGAATCAGAAACTGAATGAAACAATAAACAAATTATAGCACCTAGACAGTATACTCTAAAATATAGTTTACAGAAGTCAACATCGCAACTACCAAAGGTCACCTATCTAGTTAAATATGGATTCATACTTTGATAACATTTAACAGAGGCAATTTTTTTATAACGTGACAACAGATTACAAGTACTTGGGAGATTAGAAAAAAGTGGAGTTGATGATTTGAAAATACTTCAAATTCCCATTCCTTCTGTAGTTTCTAGCATTCAGTACCAACATGCTCTCCAAGGCATTTCTAGTAGTAATCATCTTTGTATTTTAAAAAACATGTGGTTTCCATGAGTGAAAATTCATTTTATTTGGGAAGACCCAGATTTTTAAATCTAAACCATATTTCAGAAAAATCACCTCTAAGGAAGCTATGTTACATGGAATATCTTCTAAAATATTCTAAATGCTTTTTAACATAATTTTTATTTATGAAAAAATTACTTAAAAAGGAAAATCAATTTTTTTTTAATGAATGGGAATCATTTGGAGCATGGTAACTTATACTTTTAGCTAAACTTAATAGACATCACCAAGTGACTCAAGTTCAGACAGGTGATTGGACATTATAGGACAATTCCACTGGAACAGTATGTTTGTGGAATGCTGACATCAACAACGACATCTTTTCTCAAAGTCTTTATGCACTGAGGATAGAATGAGTATCTTAAAAATTTTCATTTCTGGAAACTCTGAATTACATACCAGAATAAAAAAAGCAGAGGCAGAATTCACACTCTGAAGCTAAAACCACAGGAGAATATGAATGGCAATTCATTATTCCCTATCTTCAAAGTATATGATTTCCTTAATCAAATTTTAAGTGAAGAATCTGGGAAGATAGAGGATATAATATACCCCGTTGTGCTTCATTTTACACAATGGGTATTTTTGCTGAAAGTAACAAAAATAGAATTTTTGAAGTGCAATTTTTTTTTTTTATGTTAAACATCTTTATTGGGGTATAATTGCTTTACAATGAAGTGCAATTTTTATTTTCAATGTGGTCTAAGGGAGTTGGCTGTTCAGAGGAATCTTTTTTTTTTTTCTTTTGCAGTACGCGGGTCTTTCACTGTTGCGGCCTCTCCCGTTGCGGAGCACAGGCTCCAGACGCGCAGGCTCAGCGGCCATGACTCATGGGCCCAGCCGCTCCGCGGCATGTGGGATCCTCCCGGACCGGGGCACGAACCCGTGTCCCCTGCGTCAGCAGGCGGACTCTCAACCACTGAGCCACCAGGGAAGCCCCAGAGGAATCTTAAGATAAAACCTGGGCTGATAACAAGGTCGGGTTTTGGCCTCCCAGGGAAAAAGGTTTAGGTCCCCCATTCACAGGTGTACTCCAGGTGTCCTTCAGGCCAGAAGGCACTGGAATTTGTCCTGCATTCTCCACCCCCTTCTTGTTGGCTGTCTCTTAAACTGAAAGATCTGATCTTTTAAAAAAATTCGTCTGTTTTGAAAATCTGAATGGTTCTGTAGTAGGATAATAAAAAATGAAACTCAATTGCATTTAAAAGCTTTACAAACTTTGTAAGTGAAGTCTGTGATTAAAATCCAATTTTTAAATAAATAAATCCTATCTTTTTGAAAGCTGTGCTTCTAGATGGCCACTGCATAACAAATTTTATTTTCTGACAATGTATTATCAAATATACATTTTCTTCTCACCCTATCCAAACTTCCCCAGCTTGGCTGTTTTATTTTTGAAAGGCAAAGCCCCCTCCCCAAAGTTACAGTGTATTAAAGATTAATTTAAACCATTAAGATAGTTTAGGCTCTGTTGGTTTCTTTGGAAAGGTATGGTTATTACATTCTGCATTAATGCTTGAATGCTATTATAAATTCTGTTTTCTGGCATCCTATTAACCGGAACCTCACTAACCTGCACGATTTGTAGAGCTGCTAGAAACTAACAGCTGTTTGTAATCCTGACTAAGAGGTACCTGCAAGATGCTAGGCTAATGCCTCAGTCAACAAAGGATGAAATAATATTCCTGTTGGCTTTATAATTATTTCTAATTCTTTACAAATTATCATCCTGTAAGACGCAGCACCACCACTATACTAAACATTAGCATATACAAGGCACCAGAACATTTGATTAACTTGGACATGCTATTTCCTGACTGGGAGGGATAGTGGAGAATTGGTTCCAACTGGGCTATTATCCAAAAACGGTTTCTTATTAGAAGGTCACCTAGAAAATGACTAAGTTACTCGCAGTTATATATTCCTTCATTTCAGCAGCAGGTTTTCCAGAAGTATATCAGAGAACATTCTTGAATATTAAAGAGAAACAAGAGCTCACAAGCTGGAGGTGAGCAGAGAATAATGATGAAAAGAAACATATGTCCTTACGGAATGCTGCCATGACATCTTCTAATCTAGAATATACAATCAAGG